ACTGGAAAGTAAACCGAGATGACTTGTGAAAATAATGCCTTTCTTCTATCTACCCCACATTCCCCACCAAAAATAAGTCTTCATGAGAAAGCCTTTTCCATCTCCAGCATTCCCAATTGTTCCTGAGCCACAGGAACTTTGCCTGATTTCTGTACTGCTCCTCTCTCTAAACTGCTTTCTACTTTTAGCCTACACCTAATGCCAGTGTTCTTCTCCATTATCTCAATGGCATCTCTGGCTTGGGAAAAGACCCTCTATGGCATTACTGCCTTCTCCTGGTTCCAAGGACCTGCATTACTTCCTTAAGTGCTGCTTCTTCCAGTTCTCTTGGTCATTGTCCTTCTTGCCTCTGTGAGGCAAGGGTCAGTGTTGCTCCTTGAGTGCAGAATAATCCTCCACATTCTCTCCCTCCCTCCAGTTTATACTGTTCATTTTTCCTTTCCTTGGGAACTGACGCTGGCAAGTCTGGTTCCATAGTTCTGCCAGTGGGAGGATGGAAAGCACAGTGCCATCAGGGAGTGACAGCACACATGGCTCCAGCTGCCAAGCATGAGGGCTGTCACTTGTCACCGCCCCTGTTGGAGCGCAGTGTGCTCAGTGCTCTCCTCTCTTGGATGGCAGCGAGCGTGCCGGCAAAATCCGGGGTGGGGGCCAGAGCTGCAGCTGGGGAAGGAAAGGGAGGCTGCAACATCTCCTTCCTTTAACTCGTTTGTAAATCCCCACCGCACTCACCTGCCAAGCAAGTTTGCAAATCCAAACAACCGTGCTGAGACAAAGTCTTGGAGAAGCAGCCTGCCTTTTCATCCATTGGGAAGATGCTGCAGCTCCACCTCCATCCTCTTGCAGATCTGTTTTGGTTTGTTTTTAAGGAGATTTACATTTGAAAACCCCACAAATGAGCCAGTATTCAAACCATTCCATTCATTTAAAAAAAAATTAATAACATGAAGCTCAGACTAGATTGCTCCAGAAGACAAAGCACAAATGCACTTAGGAGCACACACAGAGCAAACATCTGAAGCTGAACTCCTGCTGCTTTTTTGGCTGATATTGTGGAAGTATCTGAAGGTGTGTTGGAAAAGCAAGCTTTCACCTTGCTTTTCCAGATCCCAAAGAGTCCTGCAAGCTGAGTGAGGCAGCTCTGCAATTCCTCACACAGGCTCACTAAAGCATGTGTGCAAGGAGACATAGCCTACACAAAGCAGGGCTATCCCCACCCTCTCGCTCATCATGAGTCTGCCTGGCTGGGTCAGCTGATGCCAAAAATGCCGTGGTAAAACCGCACATAACAGGGGTCCTGCTTGCCTAGTAATGGCTTGAGGAAGTTATGTGAATTTCTGATTTCTGCCCAGCCCCTCATTCCCACAAAATGTTTGAGCCTCACACTGTGCATGCATTAATGCCAACACACTGCTCTCTGTCATGTGAGGCTCAAGCAAGCCAGCAACTTCTGAAGTCTGTGTGCAGGTGGAAAAGCAGCAGAAGAGATGAAGCAGACAAGCCACAGCTCCATCCAGTGCAGACTAGGAACCCCCCTGGTTGGAGGCACGGCAGAGAGGGGGGGCTTGAATAAAGCTAAATTTTCTTAAAATCAGTTTTGTAGAAAGGGTAGTTCCTCCTTCGGGTTCTAGCTTGTGATTTCCCTAGTCTGGTTTCTTCTGTCAGGTTGCTCATTGCAAAGGATGTTGGCTGAAGTTACATATCTTGCAACAGACTGATTAAAAAAATCCACGTTTCTTTTCTTGTCATTGTGGCATGCTTGGAAGCTATGGTACCAAGTGAAATGTATTTAGGCGTCAAAAAGTTTTCATTTTCATGTAAAAAAAAGATTCAACAATTCCAGCTGCTGTCATGAGACAGCACTCATGAGAATGGAATGTTGTTGTGTGTCAAAGCTCAGATTAACTTTTATTTTCAACCACTGCAATCAAACAGCTGGTTCTAAATAGAATGTTCAATTTAGCTGTAATATTGCCTTTCAGAAATATGACAGTATCACATTACAGAGACTAAAATCAACAGGCTTCTGTCCTGAGTTCAGATCAGACATGTTCAGCAATACATTCGTATGTATTGAGTGTTTTTTCAGGAACATGAGCCATTGAGACTTGAAAATAGGATTGCACGAGTTGAGTGTAGCTCCTCATGTGAGAGGCTGCACTCCACTGCAGCATTCCACGCTGAAGAGGTGACATTTCTACTCTGTATTTCTTCCCTCCAAACTAGGAAAAATTGTCTAGTTTTGTTCTGAGCATTTTTAGTAGCAGTGGCATTCCTGTGAGATTGTATTGCCACCTCTTTTGCTCAATTGAATGAACAGCTTTGCTGAGTGAATCTTGGTTAAAAAACCTGTAATCCAGTGGGCTGGACTGACCTGCTTACTTTCTCTTACAGGACAGAGCTGCTGTTTCAACCTGGGAAATTGTGGAAGGAGGGCAGACAGAGAAGCAGACAGAGAAGAAAAGCTGATCTTCATCCTTGGACTTGTTTTTTATCTCAGCTACTTCAGCAACTGTTGTAAATACTAATTCTTTCAAAATAAAATCTGTTGAACAGAATGGCTAAAAAGGATAGCATGTAATTTGAGCAAAACTGTTGGCACTAGTACTTGGTAAATAAATACAGGCCTTGCAGCACAGGTGATGGAAGCATCCACAATGCAAGGCAGCACAGGAGCAGCTGAGCTGATTTAACACCATGAGGCATGGGTCTGTTCTGCTGCAGGAACTGCCCCAGCCCAAAGGCTCTGCCATCTGCCCTCACCCCGTGCTGCTGACCTGACACAGAGTTTAAACATTGTGAAGGCAGAGGCCAGAACTTAGGCCTGTCTTTAGGATGAAAACACTAAAGTTTTATGCCTTTGGTTGGACAGTTCTGTTCCTCTCAGATGCAGGAAGGGGGGATACTTTTAACCTCAAAGTATTTTCTTACTGCAGTGGTGCTGCTTTGATCCTGTAAAACCTTTACCTGTAATGTGATGGTATCCAGTTACCAGTAAGGCTTGGTACTTTTGTTTGCTTTTGCACAGAATACAAGGAGCCTTCTCTAGCGCTGAGAGTGTAGCACTCTCAGGATCTCTCCTGAATTGGGAAGATAAAATTAGGATGTATATATATTAGTATAAAGTATATTTATTTTTTACCTGTTCAGTTACCTTTTTGCTGGCCATGGCTGCTGTGGCTGTGGGCAGAGCCTCTCTTACACCTGAGGTGAGCTGTGTTCTAGGGCCTGTGTTGATTCAGGGCTGGTACTTACCTGGTACCTGCACTTTCTTTAAATCAATTTGCAAAAACATAAGAACCAAAATCATGGGTTCATCTACAAGGCACTTGTGTGTTTTCAAAGTGTCTGTTTAAAAGGACAAAGGCTTTCTTTTATACTGTTGAGAATGAAATGTGTAGCTCTTTTTCTGCTCCCTTTCTCCATTATCTATACTTCCAGAGAAGAGTGGGGTGTCTCTTCATTCAGCCCTGGGGCACAGGTGCTTATTTGACACAGCTGGTATTGTACATTTGCTCGTGGCAGTTTTGTTCCAGCAAAACAGAGTGAATGGTGAGCAGCAGCTCAGCTGTTGTGGGAAATGGGATCAGCACACACCAAACAAAGTCCAGTCAATTTGCTATTATTTTTATTTCCTACCAAAAGAAACTGCTACATTTCCAGAATGTTTAAAAATTGTAACAATTCGTATACATTAGTGAATAACAGAGTTACAACTTCTGTGTAGCTTTAAAACCAACAGGGCAAGTTGAAATCTGTATTGAGCTCTGTTAATTGATTGACTTTGCCTACTCATAATTTAGATTATAATACCACTGATGTTCTAATTACAAGAAAAAAAATCACTTATTTTATAGGCAGTAGCTGTTTTAAAAATCAGTTTTAACTTTCTGATTTCATTTAAAAGTAGTCAGGTTTCTCAAATACATTTAAGGGGAGGATTAATAGCTTAAGTTTCCCCAAAGATGCAGACAGTTTACAAAACTGCTTAAATTAAACACTAAAACCTCATTTCTTAAGAGTAGTCTGTGAACCCTCATAGAGCAACACAAGCAAACACTTAAAAACCTATTTTAAAAATAGGTAACTGGTTTAAAAAGAAAAAGAAAAATGTATCAGGGTGAGGTAGTAGTCACAGTGCATCCATAAATACCAACTCTAAGGACTGAAGGGAAATACTTGGAGTAGCCTTTCTGATTCTGGGTGCTTTCTGCAGGCAGCTATTGCAAGGAATGAGAACAGTGTGACTGGTCTGAGACACCACATTGCAGCTGAGAGCATTGCAGGGGTGGCTGTGCTGAGCAGGAACATCCCCTGCAGGAACCGGATGCATTATGTGCTTGTTCCAGAGCTTTAATGAGCAGCAACTCTTGGAGCTGGAGTGGAGGGTCAAGGGCAGCAGCCATTTAAATTTACTTTGCATGAACTTGCCTCCCTCTCCAATCAGGTTCAATCTCTACAAGCTTTGACTAAATCTCCAAAACTTTAAGGAATGGTCCTGTGCAAAATCCCACAGAAGTTCTGCTTAACACCTAATGCTTGCCTGCTCTGCCAGTGTGCCAGATCAGTGTGGCCCTGACAGTGTCTGTCTGTCCTGCAAAGATCAAGTAAAAGCCTCTATGCTTTTTGCTCTAAGAACTTCTGCTTTTTGCAGTGCTAAGGACTGCACCTGAAGCTCAAACACTGATCACCCTATTTCTGCTCCTGCCTTTGACTTGCAGCACATGCCTGCACTGTGCTGTGAAGGTACAGGGACAAACCCTGAGCTCCTTTTGTTCCTCAAGGTGTATTCCTGCTGGCTCATTGCTGTCCACCTACAGATCTGTGTGCTGGGCTGCTCTGAGCTCTACCCCAGCAGGCAGCTGCAGTTTTAGAAGCACTTCACTGTTCCATGATCACTGAGAGCTGAACCAGTTCTGCTGGGTGCCACTGAGTTTCGTGCCCCACCTTGTACCTCTCCAAATGACAATTTCACAGGTTCATTTGTACTGAGTCAAGACCAGATAAAGAAACAGAAATTTATTTCTTTTCCAGGTAAGCGTAATTATTGTTTAAAGAATTTTACTGCCGTGATACCTATAGCATATCTTTATTCTGCCAAGGGAGAACCTTTAAAAAGAAAATAACAGGACATTGCAGGAAGGGATGCCTTGTCTAAATGAATGCTGCCTCTAGGACCAGGAATGGGAAAAGGCAACTAATTACATTCAAAATCTACAGCAACTCTCATGCATTCCCTTTCCAAAGAGGCTTACTTTTTGCTTCTTACTCTACTAGCATGGCAAAAAATGAAGTGCAATAGCTAATTCTAGACAGAGGGTCTAAGAATGACAAGTGACAACCTTGGTGAAATCCAAGAAATTCAGTTGAGCTGGTGGAAGAATTTTATCTAAGTATCAAGTGCATTTTTTTTTGCTGTTCACACTTTAGTTATTGCTCAATAACTATCAAAAAGAACAGAGGAATACTTTCAGTTTAGTTTTATTATATTATAACAGATCTGCAACTACAGCTTATTTCAGCCAAAACATTTTTGTATTCCAAACTCTTAAAAAATATCTACATTAATCATATTTTTTCTATTCTTAAAAATAAAAAAATCTACCTAACATACCAATGCTGCTACAGCACTTGAAAGGGTGCATTATGTAAATTCTACGGTACATATAATTACTCTTGCAGTCATTGTTCTTTTCTTCTCTGCTGCTTTGGCTTCAGGTTTCAAAAAGTTTGTTAAAAGCTGTTCCAACTTCTGAAACCATGTCAGAGGCTGTCATTGAACGTCCAAATTTCTGAAAGGCTTGCTGGTTAGACTGCCTTGTAAGAGAGCAAGCTCCAAATGCAGCCACTAGAAAGGGATTTTGACTGAAAAGAAAGAAACCAAAAAACAACATTATAAAGAGAATCCCAACACTTCTGTGCAATCTGTGAGGTGGTGGACATCATCTTTATACCCATAAATGTTAGCATTGCCAGGAAGGCCTCTTAAGCAAACATGTTCTCACTCTTGCACTGCAGAGCATCTTTGTCTGAATATTTTTAATCAAATACTTCCCTACCCATGGCACAGCATGTGACTGATTGAGAAACACCACCATGGACAACAGGCTTAAAAAGTGGGGAAGGTGTTCCATGTCTAGTTTCACTGATGTGAAGCTTCATGCTGTCCTTCAGAGGAAGACTGAAGGCTCACCAGACAGCTTTTCAACCCCTTTGCTCTCCATTCTCTTGATAACTCCATTTAGTTTCTGTCTTGCAGGGGTGGGGGAAGGTCATGGGGATGCACACAAGAGATGATTGTAGACTGCTCCAGGGCCTCCACTGGATCAGCTTGAAAGGGATACAGTGGCAAGTGAAGACCACAACACAAGCTAAAGGCATTACTGCTGTAATGCCTCCTACACACTTATGAACTGCCCAAGAGTGTACCCAGACCCAGATCTGCAATGCTGAACCTCCCCCAGAGAAGCCAGCACACTCCAGAGCCACCTCCACCTTTCACCTTCACCAAGAGCATCTTTTCACAGGCTGGGCCATGCGAGTCACTTCTGCTGCCTTACAACAGAAAACAACTGCAGAACAGTTCAGCAGCCAGTGCTGTGCTTCAGGTCTCTTTGTGATCAGAAACCTCACAAAGCCCAGCCTCAGCTGAGCATTGCAGCCTGGAACACACTGAAGACCTCCTGACTCCTCTGCCAAGTGAGAATTTTGTGAAGGATTCCAATGTAAAACACACACAAAGCAGGACATGACTTTACAATTAGGGGGTACATAAGCAAAATTTCCATGTACTCATCAAGGTGCAGGAGCATTTAAGGCACCTTGAGAGTTAATCCTGGAAGCCCAAAGAAGAAACAAGAGCTGTGTACAGGCCCCTGGGCTCAAGGCAGCTAAAACACCAAACACATCAGCATTCTCAAGTGAGGAATCCTGCCTACTGTGCCACTAGCACCCCTGAAAGCCAGCACAGTCTCAGTGCTTGAAAACCTCTCTGCACAGACCCATTCTGAATGCCAGAGCCAGGCACAAGCTGGAACTGGCTGGACTGCCTGCAGTGCAGTCTCCAAGAGGATGCCCTGACTCACTGAACCCAAAAAGCTCCTCCTTTCCTGCAACACATGAGGTAGGCAGGATTGGTACAGCAGGTGTCTGTGAAGGGTCACCTTAACACCACTGCAGGACACACAATGCACTGCTGATGCCAATTACACTTTTCCTTCATCTATAAAATAAAGGAGTTTCTGAGCAAGCTGTTTAGAAAAGCCACAGGAGCTCAAGTCAGGAGAGCCTGGAAAACACATGCTGTGTTTGCTAATCTCTCCAACAATTTAATACTGCTGTGCTGTACCCCATGCAAAAATGAAGTCACTCTTTTAATGACTTAAAACAGAATTCCTCCTTTAGTGGCAGCTGCAAATTCAGATACCCAGAATGACAAAGGAAACCAAGATTGTGTATGTTAGACTTCAGAATTTTGAAGCCTAAGGCACCTTGTGCAGGGCCCTTGTGGTAACACAAACACAGCCTGGATACCTCCCAGGGATATCTGATACTGTGCACATGCAGCATCCCAAAGACTACAGTCTGCACTCCTCAAGCTTCCATAGCACCTGAATTAGTGAGAAGAGGGACTGTAACTCCCTGACTGCTAACATTCCTTTCAGCTTTATTTGAAGCTGATGCTTGCACAGAAAGACTCCATGACTGTCTGAACCAGCTACTTCACAGGAACTGACATTGTTTAACTAAAAAGCCAAAAGCCATCTGCATGGCTGTTTTATGTACAACCAGAGTGGACTGCCATTTGGCCTTAAAAGATTTACTCTCTCTGAAACTGTATTTTATTTGCAAGTTTCAACATACCTGCCCCCCTGAATTACATAGCCACAATGCAGGAGGATTCACTAAAATAAAACAAACAAAGCCAAACATGTCTTTTGAATTACAGAGATGTTATTGCCAATGACTACCACTTATTTATCCTTTCTACTTTCTGCCTACATTCAAATGTTTTGAAAACACAAACCTCATACATAAATGTCCTTATGAACAGATCCAGAGACTCTTCTTCTGCCCCAGACTTGGGAGATGTTAGATTACTGAAGGGCTTGTCTTAGTAAAATTATTACTGTTATGTAGACTGTTCTAGAACATCCTTATACTTTTTAAAAGTACATGGATACTTTCTCACCAAAATCTCCAATTTCATTTGGAAATTCATATAATAGCAGGTCTACAACAGTTGCTATAGGTGAACACAGACTCACAACAATTAAGTTATTAATTAATATTCATACCCATTTGTTTTTTCAGCTCCAGCAACAAATGCCCAGTGTGCCAAGACTCCAAGAGAACCAGAAAGGAGGTCCCCCTGCCCACCACATCTCCGGCTGCTCCCTTCGTGGCTGCACACAAGAACTGTGAACACAAACCAAAACCAGTCAGGTGCTTTTATCCCTCTGCTTCCAGGACAGCTCTGCAGCTGCCAGGGTACCCTCTGAGGCACACAGCAGCTAACAGGTGGGACTTAACACCAACTTAACACAGGCAGCAGAAAACACTGAAATACACTCTTCTTAAAAAAAATGAACATTAACATTTTAAAAAATACTTTTCTCATTACCTTTTAATCCTTTGCACACAACATTGCACAATGTGCACAGTTTTTCCACTTCACTCAGCCTGCACAGGTGAGTTTAGTCATTCATGTAGCATCATGAGTCATCACTCCAAACTGACCAGGTCCTTCCACAAAGCCATTGCACAAACAGAACTCTTCAGGGTCTCTGACCTTCAGAGTTTGCCAGTGTAAACCAACATGTTTACAAAAAGCAAGTGCAAAACAGAACTAAAATCTCAAATGTTCTACTGTATTCATCACAAAAATATTTTATGAAACAGCCCTTTCCTTAAGCTTTGTAAAAAGAACATGCAAGACAGATTTATTTTTGTTCTGCCAATCAACAGTGTCCTCACCATCCGTGTATGTTTCTGTCAGCAGTGTCACTGTGGATAGGCTGTGTCAGGATATCAGATGTTACATTTCTATTTTAAATACACAAAGGACCTTGATCAAACTGATATCTTTGTGTAGCTTTAACTATGAGGAACACACAAATGGTTTCACTACATTTAACTCCTTTGTTCTCCATTCTCAACAAGCCCAAGCAGGAAGCCTGGAGGACATATAAAGCACATAAAAAGAAAACAGCATCAATTCTGCTGCACTTCTCCGAGCTCTCATGTGGGAATGTACCTACCCTTAGCTTTTTTCTTGCTTGGCTCTGAAAAATAAAACAAAAACCCAGGAGAAATTTATTTTCCTCTCCTAGGAGGATGGAAGAGCTGGCAGAATCATGACTGGCCAAGTGTGATCCTTAGCATCTCCAGTCAGCTACTGCAGGATTCAGGACTGTGCACACAACTCCTTGTGTGCTGCTGAGCATGCCAAATATCCCACAAAGGATAAAGCAAGAGCAGGCATTGCGTGGACAACAGCTCTTACCTCAAGCCTGGACTTGGATTCCCCAAAGAGTATAAACACAGCAGCCCAGGTGTTTTAGAGGGAGTACTGCCATTTTTTTAACATTTGAAAAAATTTTTCTTTTTGAAGCTAATGGAAAAAATGTGCACAGAACTGAAGGACTTGCAGATACATCTTTCTAACTAGCAAATGGAAAAAAACTACGTAGTGCCAATAAATCCCTTCCAGTTTGCTATGTGCAACAGCAAAGAATTGTACTTCAGTTCCATTTCCTAGTGGTCCTTCCAGCAGTAACTGTGGGGCTCACAGGGCCAGGCAGTTGTGCCTGTCTGCTGCCACTGAGAGGGCAAAGATCCATTAGTCACCAGGAGCACAGCACACGCCACTGCAGCCCTGCCAGCAGTTCATTTTCCCAATCACTCTTCTGCCCTTCCCCCTCCCCCTCTCAAATTAAGATTCTGGATGTGTTTCTCAGTGAGCAGTAGCTAATGTCAAATTTCACAAGTGTAATGCCCTTCTGAGTTAGCTATCTGAAGAAGGTATGCCCTTTTAGGTGGAGTGATTTATTCTTATTTTTATTTTAAATACAGTGCTTTGGAGAAATTACCTCTAATTCTACTACTTTGAAGATGCTATCTCACAGGATTTTCACTTTGAGGGCTTGAACTCCTGGCAGGAGGCAGGATGGAAATCCTCTGTTCAAAAGCTTTGGGGCCTTCTGACTGACAGCTGAGCTCAAGCCCCTGCTTATTAGCTGTATGTTACCATCTGCCACTATTCTGTAGCCCCACAACCTTCCAGTCATTTTTGAGCTGTACAGGAAAGCAAGATCTCAAACTAGGCCAATTATAATACTCTGCTAAAAAAAAAAAAAAAAAAGAAGTGGTCTTTTGTTTGTGGTTTTAAAAAGTAAGTCTCAAATATGTGCAGACTACCTCACAGGCAACAATAAAAGCAGACCTTTGTACTCTGCACACAGATGCTGGAAAACAAATCCTTGGAATACCTTCAAAGAAGCAGAACTAGAGGAAATTCACTTGAATGAGGAGGGAGATATAACACAATTCTTGTGCAGAGGCTCGGCTGATCAAAGAAAACCTCAATATAAAAGGATGATGAACATGATGACAGGCAATGGGAAAAGGATTTAAAAACACTTCTGAATTATAGCCATTATTAAGAGCTTTTAAAATCCAAGAAGGAGTCCCACAGTGGCATCAAGACAAACTGCCACACTGCCAAATCAACATGGGATACTTCTCTCACCCTTCTCCTAGAACTGCAAAACAGAACTGCTGTCTTCACTCTGCCAGTGCAACATCCATCCCCCAGTGCATGTCTGAGCCTGCTGTGAGGACAGCTCCAGCAGCTCTTCCAGGACCATGGGGATGATGCCTTTAGGTAGCACTGAGCAGTCACAACCAGTGACAGTGTTACAAGACCTTGGGTAGCTGGACATGGCTGAAAGTCAGGTGTGGTGCCAAGAAGGTGGGCAGCTCTGTCCCCTGGAAATGTGCACAACACTCTGTTTATGTGGGGATGAAGCTGGGTGTGATGTGTTGTACATCATGTACATCAGCAAACACAGAAAACATGGTTCTTGGAAGAGCTGGGGAGACCCAGATGACTGCATGTGGGACAACAAGGAAACCACAAAGAAATCACCACAGTGTGTCAATTCTGAAAGGGCAGCAGCCAGGGCCACTTAAGGTCAATTAGTTTGACACCAGTCTGGATCAAAACAATGGAGAGGTTCAGTTATACCTCCACTGACAGAAACCACAATTAATGCTGGTCAAGCTGGCTGTTACAGCAGTGTGTCCAGTTCTGTCTTCTAACAGGTCTGAGCAACCAAATCTGATGTCATGATTTCTCAGGTTAATGAATCAAAGAAAACCCACTTCAGTATAAGTAGCAGACAGTTTTTTAATGAAAACTGATTTGTACCAAGTAACTCTCAGGGGAAAAAAAAATCACCCAACTTCCTAGCACTTATCTATGCAGCACACATATACCATCAGGAGAAAAGGCTAGATGAAATAAAAATGTCATCACTGAAGAAATGCCTGCAAGGAGATCTGCTAGAGTCAGAACAGCCACAGTCCTATTCAACAGTTTCAACACAGTCTCAGCAAGTAAACATCACATAAATACTGCCAGACCTTTAGGCAGCAAATACAACACATCCCTCACATATAATCACACGCATTTCTTATGTACCCAAATCCATGGAAATGATTTGTACTGAAATTAGTGCAACAGAAACAAAAAACTGAAGGCTGTCATACTGACAGAATATTGTAAAGCAAAATTCAGGAGTTTTAGGCTTCAAACAATTCAAAACTCTGGCCCAGACTTTCTGGGTAACCACGGCCAAGTCATTTAATAGGTCTGTGTTTAAGATATCTTCAAGAAGTGCTGAAAAGGGAGTGATGGTAAGATACACATTAATGTTTGTGAAAGCATTCACACCATGGTGTCACACCTAGCTGTATCATTGCCAAGTTTTAAGCTGAAAGAACTCCCAGCCCAAATTTTCTGCTGCCAAAAGCCCAGAATTACCTATTTATGGGTATTGTATGCTTAATTAAAAAAACAAAACACAACAGTCTGTTCTATAATTGAAAATAGATGTCCCAAATAGCAGCTCCATTTACAATGCCAGCTCCTAAATACATCACAGTTAGAAAACCAAAATTTTTCTAACTACCAAAGATAGTGTGTGTCTGCTTGTTCCTTATTCATCACCATGTTCACCCAGTAGTGAAATAAATAAATGAATCTCTGGGTGGTTTTACTTTTGCATTTAGAGCATGGCATGTGAAATATGGGATAGTTTAGGTGTTCTGATGATGGTCAAGAAGGCTGAAGAGCCTATGTGAAACATCCCATTTATTGAGATGGCAGACTACCGAAAGACTGGAGATTTAAATTTAACTCCTGAATCTCAGATGTCCTGAACAAATTCCTTGCACTTGTTTTCTTCTTACAGAGGAGGAGTATTACACTCACCCTAATGTGGTCAGGAACCCATGGAAGAAACATGACCATTCTAACTTCTGATACAACCCAACTGGATCAATCAGCTAACAGCCACCCCACACAACAAACACACTCCAGTTTAATTAAAAGGTTTAAGATTTCCATTTTCTATGCAAATAATGTAGCTACCAAGGACCATTTTGCCCAATCAATGCAAGATTTAGACCAACATCAGATTTTTAGTAAAATCTCTTACCAATATACATCTCTGACCTAGCATGTATCTATACTAGTAATACATTTATCTTTTTCCTTTTGCAAGTTAGTTCACAAAAGCAAATAGCTGGAGATCGTGGATTCCCAAGAACATGTCCCAGAGTGCATACAGACAGGGAAACCAAGTTTAATGACTCTGGCTAGAGAAACAACTCAACTGATGTGGAAAATGTAAGTTGGCTTTTATATAAAGGGTGCTTATACTTTTTTATTCCCTAATCACACTTTTAAAACTTAGGTAAGTCCTTGAGTGCAACAGAGCAGTCAATTTAAGTTGAGATGAGAATGACCCAAGTTTTCCATGAGTTCTGTTGGACAGGCAGAGGAGCCAGGTGAGCAGTGCCAGGAGAAGCTGGCTGGGCTGCACTGCCAGAGGCAGCACAGGGGCACCAGGACAGGAACCAGCACCTCCCCATTGTGCTCATTCTGCACAAGCAGCACTGCAGACCAAGGTGCTGCCTCTCAGTTACAAATCCCTCAGTTATAAATCTAGGTGAGATCTAGGTGCCTGGCTCAGCAGTTGTGAGGGAGCCAGGCAGTGACAAGCTTCATTTCCAGCTGTGTGGGGAGAGGAATGGCTGGAATTAGAAGCACCACTTGGGGACTTATGGCAAAAGTTGGCTTTTTAGCCCTTAGCCAGTGCTCAGTATTCTGCCTCACGTGCTTCCTTGCTTCTTTCGACCATAAAGCTGCACCTGAGCAACCAAAGTTAAACCAAATTTGGCTACTGGTTCCAGGTAGAAGTAGTCCCAGGTAGTAGCAGGATGGTTCCCATAAAGCCTGCCTTTTGGAAGGGAGGAGGGTCAAATACAGAAAAACTCACTGTAATGTTTAAAAGCCAAAATCCAAATACTCTAATTCAAGGACCTAACCAAATTTTAAACATGTTAGGAACTAAGGCTGGTATAACCACACTTTATTATTGACCAGTTCTCCAAAGAATAATAAAAAGATAACCTTAGAGAGCTGTGCCATAGTGAATAAAAGCTGACTTACCTTTTACCCATAGGCTGAGTACTCATTCCTACCCTGGTCAGTGATGGCACTGATATCACCTACCAAGAGCATGGTGAAGCTCATCTTTGTAGAGCAGGGAATCAACAACTGTAGACCAAGCTATAATGTGAAATTGCAAAAGGAAAGAGAAAAAGAGTATATAAAACTTAATTTAAAATCTGGGTGATTATGTTTACAGGCCAGTTGGCAGCTCACTATTGAAATGGAGACAAATTTTAGAAAAACCTCCTTTGTACTGGAGGGCTGCTACTGCTTTCACAGAGGCCAGTATGTGACTCTGAGGCCATCTAGTCTGATCTGTGAAAACAAACTTTAGAGGTCTCCAGACACTTCAAAGTTTGTGAACCTAGCAAAGTTTCAGGTATGTGGATGTACTAGTTCATTTGTCTAAATCTTACTTTGAATTTATTAAACTTCAGCTTCCAATCAGAATTTACTGAGCCTCTCTGTGTAGATTACGAAGCTTGTTGTTGAGAGTAATTCTTCAGCAATACCTGACACCAAATTACCTGGTAACCCTTCTGTCTTCAGGTGGCAGAAGTAAACTGTCTACAGCATTTCCTACAGACTCATGAATAAAACTACTCTGAAAACAACCATTACAATTACTCTAAGCTATAAAGCACTCACAAACCCAGTCTTTCCTACTGCAAAATGTGGCATCTTCAAAAAGCCTTCCTTCCTCAACAACTAAGCATAAAAAACTAAAGTTACACAGTTAAGTTTGCAATTCCTCAATTTCTGGTTTTCCTGGAAAGCACAGAGACTTACTTTTCTCTCTCTCTCTTTTTTTTTTTTTTTTTTCCCCTGGAAAGCACACATGCAGTATTTTCCCAAAGGAGAAAGTTTAAAAGTAATATATGCAAACTACAGTGTCAGTATGCAGAACACAGGAGGTCAAACAGGAAAAGCCTAACAGGCAGGGCTTAAGCACTACAAATAGATGGTGACATGACAAATAAAAGGCAAGAGGAGTACACAGATCTTTTCATAATGTTTGATTGTGCTCAGAGGACACTGGCCCGTTCCAATAACCTTGGATTTTTTGTAGTCTTAGCTGAAAAAAATGACATCAGATCAAAAGAAGAGACAGATGAAAAACAAGAGCAAAAAAACCTGAAGAATTCGAGGTCAGTGACAGGACAACATATTCCATGTTTGGCACAGAGCACACAGTAGAATCTCCTTTCTGAATGTAATTTTGCATTTGAGAAGCTTTTAAAAAAATGACCAGCAGATCAGACCCAAAGAACATTGTTGTTAAAAGGAAGGTGAAGTCTGTAGTTTCTGCAAAATTCTCAAGAACCTTCTTCAAAGTCATGCAAACTCTAAAAACAGTTCTTGTAACAGACATTACAACCTGCTTTCTTAGCTCAGCAATGCTGCCTGTAATGTCTGTAATCCAACAAAGCACCAGTGATAGCACCAAGGTAAGAACAAGAAAGCAGCCTACAGCTGGACATCAATCAACTGCTATAAAGGCACAGAACTGTTTTTATTTCAAAACCAAAAGTCATTTCACTAGTAGAAGAAAATACCACAACACAACAGAGACAAATAACAAGGTGGGGAAAAAATATAACCAATGAAAAACCCCAAATGCACACAAGACATACATGAACTTGTGCCACATATGAACATTCAAAATTGAAACTTGAAAGAGCTTCATTTGTTTCCTGTTTTTTTTAATCCTGCATGACAAGAGATATTTTACACCTGTCCTGTCTCTCCAGCAGGTGTGGGGATACACTTATCTCGAGAGTAACAGTTCAAAAGGAGAACAGACATATAGATAAACATACTAGATAATGTACTCCATCTAAAGTGCTCACCCAGTCTTCCCAATGTTCATTTAAAAAGCAACAATCCTGTATAAAAAGAATATTTTTGACATAAAAGCAGAGGAAGAAGACAACTACAATGCTCTAAAGCTCTCTAGCTGGCACAGACTGGAGTCAAGTCCAGCCGAGTTCATCCACCCCTAAGCCTGGCCTGACTGTCCATGGTTACAAATCAAGTCTGCTGCAGGTGCAAATATGACAAAAAATTCTTCCTGTGGGGAAAGCTGAGTTCTTTGTGAGGAAGTACATCTATCTTTCCCACACAGATGTAACCATATTGCTTCCAGGTCCCACTTGTTGCACAGTCTGCTACAGTATCTGCCCTAACAGGGTATGTGAAGGTGGCTCTGTACAAACCAGTTGTCACACTACATCTGCTTTTCTGTTATAAAAGACTTCCATGGCTCCCAGTAATGAAAAATTGACTGTATATACAAAACAGTTCTGAAGCAGCATAAACATTTATGAGAGATTAGCATTTCAAGTAATTAAAGGCAGAACTGCTGCTTGTTATGTATGTGAAATAAGACCATGCAGGCAAAATGTGACGAAGGCACTCATGAATTAATTTTATACTGATCACAGCACATGATCAGTTTAAAAAGCATCAGACAAGCAGCTAATTTTATTAAATATACTTTAAACTATATTGGTATGAGACTGTTGTAATGACAATCTAGAATTAACTTTTAATTTGTCAGGGCTGCTGTGAAGTCATATGAAGTACATGATGGACAGGCTCAAGGAACTGAGCCTTAAGACATCTTCATTTCTCACACACACTGACACATCCTGAACTAAGAGTATTATTTTGTATGAATTCAGCAATGACAGATGAACTTCTATAAACCATCTCAGCAAAGAACTATCAAACAGTCCACAAAGATTAAATAATTAATTTCTCAATACCCATGTAATGTAAAATATAACATCTATAAATGCAAAATAAAATCAGCAACTCTTTTCAGCAAATAAATTTAGTTGCACTCTTAAAATATTAATTTACACAAATTATCTAAAGGTGATCAGCAAAGACAGCAATCCCTCTAATCTTCAGGGCAATACTGCCAATTGCTATTCACTCTACTGGACTCTGACTGAAAGCAAACAGAACAGAACAATCACATTGCTGAAAGCAGAAGGCTTCACTTACCCTTCTCTCCATCTGAAATAAGATCTCTTTCTCCCTTTTGCACAACTGTCAAATTCCCCATGGCTTGGCTGAGTCTTAGCACACATCCATGATGATCACTACTGTCTACGGGGTCTCTAAGCTACAACACAAGAATTCCATACACAGTACATATTTTGCTACTAGAACAATATATTCTAACACATGCTAGTTACATATGCATGGGGGGAAAAAAGCAACATCAGTCTTTCTATACCCACTGCAATGTTAAAAAATGCATGAGAATGGGTCTTTAAAAAACAGCTCAGTTTAAGAATATGCATTGCTATGACAATCATCCCATGAAATAATAACCCAGCAAGTGTTTCTCTCACATACAAGAAACAGCACATAATATTTAAGCCAGTAATAAGTTACTTGTTTTCAAGGACAAAAAGACTAAATACATAAATACCCAAAAGGCAAGCAGCTCACCATGGCCTCATACAGTCTACTGAACTCCATGTAGTTTGGAGTAAGAATAGCTCGCTGGTAGCCTTGGATAAGAGAAGGCTGCTGGGAAATGAGCCACAGTCCATCCTGCAAAACACAGTAAGAACATTTACTGAACAGATTCTTAAATGCTAAACCACTGATGGAAATAAAGAAAATACTTACTGCATCAATAATGATAGGAATTCCTTTCATTTTCGATTTCTCTATAATACCCTGCAAAAAATGCAGATACTTTTAAGATGCTTGTTAATTTATATTTCATAAGATCCAAACCAAATTCATACCATAAATCTGACCATGAAAGTTGTTTTTACAAAGTGATAGAAAAAGATCTGTTATATTCTGCAAACTAATGTAAAACATTTTCATATCAGCGGGTAATTTTACAGTCACAATGTTTTCTCCCTGGTTTAAGTGTCCACAGAGCTGGTATGTGTATTGGGTACTCATGGCAAGGTTCTGGGAGGGGGAAGAGGGGCCACAGGGCTTCTCCAAGAAGTTGCTGGAAGTTTCCCTTATATCCAACAGAGCCAATGCCAGCCAGCTCCAGGACAGTCCTGCCACTGGCCAAGCCAAGCCCATCCTTGACAGTGATGGGATCATAGACTTAAAAACAGGATAAAGTTACTGTGCTGAATCAACTGCAGCCAGAGAAGAGAGGAGTGAGAATATGTGAAAGCTACAGCCCTGCAGACATGTGAAGGAGGAAGAGAAAGTATTCCAGGCTTTGGAGCAAATTCCCCTGCAGCCTGTGGTGCAGTTCATGGTGAGGCAGCTGTGCCCCTGCAGCCCATGGAAATCCACAGGGGAGCAGAGCAGGTGGATGCCCAGAGGAGGCTGTGACCCCATGGAAAGCATGCACTGAAACAGGCCCCTGGTAGGACCTGTGGCCCCACGGAGAGAGGAGCCCACAGTGGAGCAATCTGTTCCCAAAGGACTGCACCCCAGGGGAAGGACCCATGTTGGAGCAGTTTGTGAAGAACTGCAGTCCATGGGAAATCCACTGGAGAAGTTTGTGGAGGACTGTCTCTTGTCAGAGGAAGCCCATGGTGGAACAGGGGAACAATGTGGAGTCCTGCTCCTAAGGAGGAAAGAGCAGCAGAGACAATATGTGATGAACTGACCAGAGTATCCCTTTCCCAACCACTTGCACCATTAACAGCAGGGAAACGAACAATTTTGGAGTTAAAATAAGCTTGGAAAGAAGGGAGGGGCGGAGGGAAGGTATTTTATCACCTTCAGCTTTAAGGTGGTATTATTTCTCATTATCCTACTCTGATTTCACTTGTCATAAAACTCGATTTCCCCAAGTTGAGTCTGTTGCAATACTTCAATATAACAGTAACTGGTGAATCATCTCTCCTGTCCTTATCTTAAACCCACAAGGAGTCTTTTGTTGTACTTTCTCTCCCCTGTCCAGCTGAGCAGGGGAGTGGCAGAGAAGCTTTGATGGCACCCGGCATTCAGCCAGGGTGAACCCACCACAATAAGCAACCCAAACAAACAAGCAATCTCACCCACTCTGCCTGCTGCAGGAGGCATGTAATGCCAACACAAATCACACACAGTAAACATACATCTTAAATTAAAATAAAACCATAAAAATCCCAGGGAGTACTGCCTTGATAGAAATCTACCAATAACTATAATAACTAACTTCAGTTGCTTTGCTGCTGACAGCCCCACTGCAGTATTAGTTTATGTACAAACAAACATCTGAGACAAGCAGCATATACGATGTCATTTCACCTGTGGGTCTGGAGGTTTTATGCTTTGAAAGCAAAACCAAGGTAGCCCAGACAACAGATCATTTGTAAAAGTGTTCTTTTCAGCACTGAGCAGACTGTCTGCCCTTGTTCTCCCTCCTAACCCAGCAGCAGCAATGACTGATCCTGAGGCTTTTTAATGAACAGTGGCCAACAGTCAAGTTTTCTTCAGTGTTGGTTATTACCAACTCGTCTCTGAAGCTGGAGAGTTTATCTTTTTCCTGTATAAGATAATAGAGCATGGTATCCATCCAGAAGTTTAATTAATTTTGAATGTTATTAAGCTCTTCAGATTAGGCTATCATACAGCACTGAGCTTCACAGGTTAGCAAGACATGAGGTAAGGAATAAGGAAGCAATTTTAAATTAATATTCAGGGTACTGAACATCTCTCATTTCTTGTAAAGTGGTTAAAATAAACACCACCCACCTTAGTCTCTGTAAATTATTACATATGACATACACATATCCTCACAAACACTACTACCTGATTCTGATTTTTCCAATACCAAGGGAAAGTATTCCCCTTCCATTTTCTTTGTAGGGCACTGTCTGCAGTTTGGAAGCATGAGACTGCTCACTGCTCCAAGCCTGAGGACTTGTCCCCACACACAGCTGTGGCCACAGCAGAAGCTACTAGTGAACAGAAACCTTTCCAACACAGACCTGCACACCTTGGGCTGTGTGTCAGACTGCCAGCTGCCCACCTCCTTTGGGATCCCCAGGGAACACCACACAGTCCTCCCTTATACTCAGCTACTTGAACAATTTCGAACTAATGGCAAGTTTTACACAACTCACACGGTTCAGCTACTGCTAAATTAGTCAAATTTACTGGTAAGTATACTTAACAGCTGTGTGAGGATGGAGCGTCAAAACATACCTAGAATTAACTGTGACATTGTGAAAACCAGAGTGCCTTACTATCAAAGCTTTCAAGAAATGTATATGAGAGTAGTTTCTTAATTCATTCATGTTAATCTTCACAGATGTGCACAGCTCAGTTTTCCTTCACAGAAGCTGCACTGCTTTGCCCCTGCTGTGTTAAGTTCATTAACAATTATGTTTAACTTGGCTCACTTTGTAACAATAAAACAAGGCTGTGAATCTAGCAAACAGATTTTGTGTTTGCTGTTTGTATTTTCCTTGTATAAATGCATGTTATAGATCCAACAGCCCAATTATTTTTGAATGATACTAAGCTATTCTGATTAGATATCAGAGGGCACTGAAACCCAGACCTCAGCAAGATCATCCTTCCCCAATCTTTGAAGGTACAACTACCTTTTGCTGCAACCTGGTTTTCTAACTGGTTATAATTAGAATATTTTTGTACATTAGCAGCTTCACCAAACTCCTTCAGTACACTTAAAATGCTTACTGCTCCACTTCCCACTAATATGAATCACCAGTTTATTCCAGTATGTCAACCTCAATAAGCGAGTCTTTCATGACACTTGATGTTCTTAAACTAAAAAAAAAGATTTCCAACAGAGTCAGTAAGGAAGTCTGAAGGAAGACACAGATCTCAGGAGTCCTTATCCTTCCAAACTGTTCTCTTAAATGCATTACAAGCAATCTAGGGAAGGAATTTTGCCAAAATTCTGTTCCCAAAGAAGCTGAAGTTTGGCAGTAGCTGTTATTGCTTGGCCCTTTTTCATGTTTCCTCATAATTGTCATCTTGGATACAGCAATGTCTTGCTCTCTCCTAAATAAGCAATCCTGAAGATCCATAGTATACCAAGAGAATGTATGTATAAGACAAAAATAAAAAAATGGAAGTTACAGAGCATGACAGTGTATCTACAGCTAAATAGCATCTGGAAGGCCAGATCACTGGTACACTTCAGAGAAATAAGGCATTTTTTTCCTAGTCATGTTTTGAGTTCCTACCTCTCTAGCACATCCTCCACAATCCTGAAACATCTGACCTCCACTCTAAAGAGAAATTTCACCTTGCTAAGTAAAACCACTGGGCAAGCAACTTTTATTGTGTACCAAGTCTCTGAGGTGTCAGTTTTTAATCTAACATACTGAATGATCTTTGCTTGTTCTTCCTCTCCTTATAAAACAAACAATCAGGGGACACAAAGTTGTTTGTATTATTTAGAAAGCTCATTTTTATTTAAAAAATGCAAAAGAAAGGACGAAAGGAAAAAAGGACGAAAGGAAAAAAGGACGAAAGGATGAAAGCCCCTATCCCAATCATTTTCCTTTCCTCTTCTTTCCTTAAAGCCAGAGAGAAACTGCTTGGAGATAGACAAGGAGCCTCACAGAGGAAGTTTTGGGGAGGGAAGGGGTGATTTCAAAACCGTAATAAACCAGTAGAGATCAGGGAACCCCCCCTAAGACAGCCACACGTTTGAAGGACATCACATTCACAGGAGAACCTCTGTTTCCTACTGATTGTGGACAGGACCACTGGAGAGCTGCTCACCCATGCAACTCAGACACCTCATTTAGGGTGGGAGCAATAGCCAACAGACATACCTGTGTCTCCTCAGCTACCACAGGGGGTGCAGAGACACCTTACTGTTTTATTTTTAGACACCAACAATTAGGTGAGATGAAGCCCACTTTTAAGCACTCTATTTCTGCAAATACCATATTTAACAAAAAACAAACAAACAAACAAACAAAACCCCTTAAATATTGGCATTAAGAGGAGTTTATGGCAATAACGGCAACATCCTCTATGCAGAGTATTGGCGAAAAATCAATTTTCAGCTGTATTTGTACCTGAGTATTTGGCATGGACTTTTTTTGGTTAAAACCTGTAGATATAGAAGAACCTTCACTGTTAATTAATACAGCTCAGGCTAACTCTGCTTTCACACCAAAATCTCTTTAACAGTTCCCGATAGAATTCTATGAATGAGCAGAAAACATCTGTTCAGTTTTATCCAATGTAACAATTATTTCTATGGGAAAGGATTTAGAAGAAAACATTGACAATTAAAGATATTAAGAAATATCACCAAGACAAAAGCTGAAACCAAAACGCCATTGACAAGTGAACAGCAACACATACAGGTATCAATGATAAGCTCAAGACATCATCCCTTCTCTTCAAACAGCATTTTGAATATTAAGGATTTGAAGATTCTAGCTCCAGTGAACAAACTTTCTGTGCACAGAATGTATTATACTACACAGTGGTGGTTCAGCTTGGAGCAAGGCAGGAGAACTTCCTTCAGTTGATGCCTAAGCCCTCAAGGACATCCAAAACTGAAGCACTGGACTCACAAGGCAATCTTGGCATGAGTCAGAAAGCAGAGGGCACAATGATGAGAAGAAGAGGATGCTGCACTGTTGTCACCCAACCTTATGACCTACAGCCACACTGTGTAATTAAGATTTCAAAGAATGAAATTTGGATTCTTCCTCTGCAATTCACAGTCACGGCCAAAACTCAGTCTCTTACCTTTCATACTGACACTCTTAAAA